ACTAGAGCAAGATTCACTCATTCAGAACAAGTTTTAATTATTTTGATTATCTGAATTTAAAGGAAAAAAACTTTTCTTATTAATAATTTTTATAAATATTTATTCAAATTAACACAATATGTTGGCCCTGCTAGTAGAATATTATTGGAATATTATGCCATATATTCTCTGTAAAATAATGAATACATTACAAATCAAGTAACCGCATCTGATGTAACACTCCCTTTAACAAAATAATCAGGTATTACACATTGTAAATGATATTTGGAGCGGCCAATTACTGCCCCTGATATTACCTGACAACAAAATAAGAATTGATTATAGGATGGACATAACATCTAGAGCGACGAATTACAGCTAATAATTTGTACATAGAATTTGGAGCGGCCTTAGTAATACCGCCCTTGACATAACACTCCTGACAACAAAATAACAAGTGATTATAATTTGTACATAGAATTCGTAGCGGTCAATTATACCGCCCCCGATATAACACTCCTGACAACAAATAACAAGTGATTATAATTTTAACATAGAATTCGGAGCAGCCTATTACCGCCCCCGATATAACACTCCTGACAACAAATAACAAGTGTTTATAATTTGTACATAGAATTTGGAGCGGCCTATTACCGCTCCCGATATAACACTCCTGACAACAAAATAACAAGTGATTATAATTTGTACATAGAATTCGGAGCAGCCTATTACCGCCCCCGATATAACACTCCTGACAACAAATAACAAGTGATTATAATTTGTACATAGAATTTGGAGCGGCCTATTACCGCCCCCGATATAACACTCCTGACAACAAAATAACAAGTGATTATAATTTGTACATAGAATTCGGAGGAGCCTATTACCACCCCCGATATAACACTCCTGACAACAAAATAACAAAAGATTATAATTTGAACATAGAATTCGGAGCGGTCAATAACACCACCCCCAATATAACACTCCTGACAACAAAATAACAAGTGATTATAATTTGAACACAGAATTTGGAGCGGCCAATTACCGCCCCCGATATAACACTCCTGACAGCAAAATAACAAGTGATTATATGATTTACATTTTTCCAACAGGGGCAAATTACTGCAACCAACATAACATAATTAAAACAAAACTAACACTATTGAAATACATGTTGTCATGAAAAATTCAGCTCTCATTAGCATGTGCAAAGTAATTGTGCAAACTGTTAATAATTTTTTTGGATTTTGTAACTCTCACCGAGTTTCCAGTGTTTGACACTTTGAACAGTGATTGATGACCTTCTGACTTCAGTGCTATCCAGAACACTGGATGTGAAATAACTGCCCGTACGAAATTCAGAGACGTATTACGCCTGGATTTTTTGCAAATCCTGGCGTACATGAGACGTATTCTTAAAAATACGGTTCATTTTCAGGCGTACACGTATTTTTGCCAGAAATACGTCTCCTTTTTTCCAGGCGTAAATTCTAAATCCGGGCGTATTTTCTACTTAGTCTCTTTGGCACAAGGAAATTAAAACTTAGAAAATTTCAAAAGGCGTATTTTTTAAAATTCGGGTGGATTTTTCAACTTAGCCAAAAAAACTTAGTCAACTCATTCTCTTTTTTTTAAGGTATTGAGTTGCATAAGAAACATTTTTATTATATTATATAGCTTAAACAAAAAAAAACCCAAAGTATTGCATGATTGTATACATTACAATATTGCATTTAGTTTACAGTTGTATTAAATATCAAAGCAATTATTTTTCATAAATTAAACTGATTTTTTCTTTTAGAACTTTTTTTTTAGAACATTATCCCATGGACCTAAAATTTTGTCATTCCCATTTTTTTTCAAAAAATTGATATTATTTTTCTTAACACAAATGATTTCTATAAGTGTAAAGTAGATAGTATATTTTTTGAACTTCATGCATGATTAATTGTTTAGTCAGGCTATAAACATACATGTTATTACAATTAAATGTTTTTGTATAAAATGATTTATATTTGGTATATTTAGATACTCTGTTACATTACCATCAACTTTCACTTCCCTAGCCTAACCTGCTGGGATTGTGCTAATTACTTACAGATGTGTTTGTTTAGGAACGACTTATCTTGATGTTGTAAACCTAAGAACGGCTTATCAATTTATATCCGGTTTGTGTACAGCAGTTCTATTTCCCACCCTAGTATCTTTTTAATTCATGTAATGAATACACCTTGTTTATACATTGATGGGATTTTATTTTTATGTTCTAGCTGTAAACAAAACAGCATTTTTCTTCAAAATTACAAATTGTACTGAGTAGAACTTCCAGAAATCATAAAAGAGTTTAGCTAACTAGGGGGTTGTAAATAACAGCATCTGCATCCAAGTATTTGCGCCAATTTTAAACCACCAGGCATCATGCCAAGAACAATGAGATTAGAGAAAGCCACAACAAAGCACAGGTGGTGTAGAAGAGGTAAATATTTTGAAAACATAGCTTAACATTGAAACTTTTTATCTATGAAAATAAAAGACAGCTGCATTTGCTTTTAATTTGCAGAGCCAGATGTTAATGATTCAAAATTGGGTCAGTAGTATTTTGAATTACATAAATTATTCTTTTTCCAGAAAATGATTTACATCTAAATCCTTATCACAGTTGGAAAATTGATTGAATGATGAAATGGTCATAAGAGGAGGAGAAAAGATCTTGCAATATTAAGAGCTGACCAGCAGCATAGCTTTCCATAAATGCAATAATGCCAGTGAACTGTAGCCATTGGAAGATTGCATCAGGAAGAAGATGACTGTTTGCAATGCCAGTTATAAAGCATTCAAACTTCTTTAATTTTGTGAATATTTCAATCTATGAAAATGTGATTGGGAAATGTGATGTGAAACGTGAATGACAGAACTGCTCGTGATTTGCATCTTTTATGCCAATTTAGGAATAAAAAGAATGGCAGGAGTACTCGGCATGATTCTCAAAACTGTGATTCACTGTGATTATTGGAATGTTTCAACTGTTTACTATAAAACTCAGCCTTGGATGTTAAAATGCTGTGAAACAGTTAATATATTCTAACATGTAACTGTGCTTTGAAAAAGTAAATGTAAGATTATGATTTTTTAAATTTTAATGACAATCCTTTACTAATGAATCTCATTCACATTTTATCACTCTGAAAAATATTAAGAAAATAAAAGTGATGTATGCTTAGCTTAATTTGTTAATCTTTTTTAGCATATGTAGTCAAAAATCTTTGTACTGAAGTTGATTGTACATTTATATTCATGCTATAGTTGTAGCTCCCATTGCTGTAATATAATTAATATTTAATTCAAATCTATTTAAAGCAGGCGTATTTTTTGTACAGGCGTATTTTTTTGTACGGGCGTATTCTTTTATACGGGCGTATTTATTTTGCAGGCGTATTTTTAAGGGTATGCTTGAAATCTAGGCGTAATTCTATTTTTAAAATTTCCAAACGTATTTTGAATTTCCAGGCGTACTTTTGCATATTTCGGCCAAAAATACGGGAGGATTACGCCTCGTGTACGCCTGTATTTTACATTATACGCCTGGTTTTATATATTCATTTCAATAGAGATTTCCACAAGGATTTTTAGATTAAAATACGCCTGGATTTTTTAAAAAATACGTGATTTAAATTTCGTACGGGTCTGAACTAGTGATTTCAAAGTCACAACATCATCTACAGCATTGTGTGCAGAGTAGACTATACCTGAAAGACACTCACAAAGGTTTTCCTGTCGATAAGATGGTAATCCAGGTTTCAAAAGTTTGAAGAGTTTCAGAGTGTCAACAAAACCATCCACTACTTCTGGAAATTCAGTTATTTTGTTGCATGCTTGTAAAGCACGCATAAGAACAGGACAGTCAAATGACTGGATGTTATGTCCAAACAAAATCAATTTTTTACCAAATTGATTACAAAAACTAAGTAAGCTGTCAATAGCTGCAGAAATTGTTACTGCATCCTTTTCCTTTTCAAAGTGGAATAGTTTTCCATTTTTTTCACTTATCCCAGTTACTTTCTCAGCCTCTTTGGTAGAACGTACACTTGAAACTTTTCTTCCTCTTCCAGAAATGCCAACTGAGTAATGTGACATGTTCTATCTAAAATATTAAATGTATAATTAATACAAATAAATCAAAATCATACAAAGTCATAAAAAGTTATCTTTACCTTGGTAAAATGATGTGCAGATTGCCAGTTGAAATCTTGATTTTGTGAGTAATTAATTCACAAAGCCAATTACAATCATAAGCACAACAGTTATGAATATAAGTGTCCTATATTTATAAGGTATTATAAATTTCATAACTGTAAATTTTCTTATACTTGTGATGATGAGATGTTTAAATTAAGTAACAGTCCTGAAATTGATATTACATGTTGTTCAAGCTTTGAAAGAATGAGTGGAATAATTCTAATTTGTGGAGGGTTAGTGTTCGCAGGCAAGGATTAATGGTTTGTGGGGAAGTCTTTTTGTGGTTAACTTGTTTATTCACTGCAGGAGACTCAATACCTTGACAAACAAGCGATGTTTGTAAAACACGTATGCCCCCTTCCCTAAGGCCATGCAAAGTTAATTACTTGGTTCTCAGGCCTTTTTTCAAGAAATATGATGAGGGAGGGAGGTATTTTTTTTCTTTTTTATTGCCCCCAAACATGATGAGGCAGCTTTTTATATTGTACAAAACCTAAAAAAATGATGAGGGAGGTGATTTGGTGTTTATATTTTATTGATTTAGAAATAAAAAGGGTCAATGAGGCACCCTTGGAAGAGATGAGGGAGGGCCTGATAACCAAGAAATTAATTTTTTTTTGCCTAAATGATATGAATTTTTCAAAGTCCAAGGGGCATAACTCTACAGATCCAAAATGGTGCTATCATACATGTACTCAAAACAGAAATTGACCTATGTATTCTCATGATTAATCTGTTTGCCAAATTTTATTTCAATATGTGCAACCTCTACAAATAAATAATGAACAAAAACTGCAAATAATTGGAATATTTTTAAGTCCAAGGTGCATTGATCTGTCAAAAAATGGCTTGATCGTATTTAAAACAGATATTGGCATAGATGTTCAAAGGATAAATCTGTATACCAAATTTCATTTCAATATGTGTAATCTCTGCGAAGAAAATGAACAGAAACTGATGATGGGCCAACAGACAGACCGACCGACCAAGAGACAGCAGCAAAGCAATATGCTCTTTCTTCTTTGGGCATAAAAAAATCGTTCATGGGAAGTAAATTGGTGGTTAAGGATTACCTAAGAAATCCATGAATATTGGTCCCTAACGAATACTGATGATTCCACAGTACATTATGTATATGAATACACATGTATTGTAAAAGTGAATTCCAACCTTATCAAAAATTTGAACATTTGAAGATTATAATATTTATGTAAATATATGTAAGTACCCAAGCCAGTTGTTTCCATATCAAAATAAACAGGTAAATGGGTTTCTCCACTGAAGTCGACTCTATCTTGGTCTGGCCGAATGCATGGGTCTGGAATACTGGCAAGAATTGTATCAGTTTGCTGACATAATCAAATCTCAGATGATTATGTGGGGCCTTCCTTGTATTCTTGACAGGCAATCCTCTGCGATCTAAAAATACAACATGCATTTTAATTGCAATACACTGTACACAAGATTTTTCATATGACAAAATTTAAGAAATGAATCTTATTTTTGAGAATTCACAAAGTACATGATGTACAATGCTTCATGCCTGCATATTATCAAGATATTTAAGGAATCACTGTCTAGTTATGAGAGTATGCCAGGGCATCAACAATAGTTGGAAACATGGGATAATTTGCATAACAGTGATTCCTTATATTTCCATTTCATTGTGAAATAAAATTGTAGATTTAGACTTTAAAAATGTAGACCAATAGATTTGAATTACATGAGGACTTCCATGTCAATTTCAATAGTCCTTGCACACTGACGTCAAACACAAAGGCAACCACATGAGATGGTTTCTGTCCGACTGTTTTTCTATATTTGGGTCAACCTCGTGTCGTAGACGTGATATGGTAGCTGCATCATCATCGCCAATAATGGTTGCAACTCTCTCACCACTTTCTTTCACTTTCTTCACCATTTCAACTACCATATCCTGTTCCATGGCTTTGGAACTTCCTAAAATTAACAAAGATTTTGGTAATCAAATGTTTTAGGCTTAAGATGTGTCTAAATATGTTTAAAAAATTATATGTTTAAAAAAATTACTGTATGATATATTGATATTTTAAACATAAAAGAAGTGGGCTTGACAAAAAATATTTTAGTGGCTATTGGCATGGACATTAAATATAAAAAACTTATGAAAATTTGTTATGCCAAACAGTAAGCAGAAGTTGTTTTGTAATTTCATGAAAATCGTTAAGAAATCATTTATAAATACAATATACAGAAAGTACCGCTAAATACGCCAACAACTCATCACCAAGTAATTGTGCTAAATTTATGTGCATGTACAGTATTTTTGGAGATCAAATGTAAACTTATGTTACAGGATAAACAAAATACATGATAACTGATTTGAAATGGAAGCAATATTTGGGATCAGGTGAAATCATTTATAACTATTGGCCAACAACTCATCACCAAGTAATTGTGCTAAATTTATGTGCATGTACAGTATTTTTGGAGATCAAACATACAGGATGATAACTGATTTGAAATGGAAGCAATATTTGGGATCAGGTGTAACTGTTGGCCCATGGGCTATAAGGTTCACATGAGTCATGTTAGGATTTCTGCCTTTATATTTCACTGTAAAACTTGGATCATTCTTTTTCTAATCAGTCTTTTCTAAAAATTTCAAATAATGCATTGAGGTTATTGAAAACTTAATTACTGTTTTTTTGGATTCACAGATTTAATAACATTGTGAATATCAAGAATTTTAACAACACAAGTTATTTTCCCCCATACAGTACTTTGTGGCAAGTTGATTGAAATTGGCACAGTTTTTTTTTAGAAGTTTACAAAAAAGTATACAGATAATCTTAAAATTCTTGTAGGGCCCCTAAAGTGAAATTAAAAGTTTTGTTGTTTTGTCATATAAATTAACAATAGATATAATCAATCATTTACCTTCCCAATTTTTATAACAAATGTGTGGTCTTGCTGGTAGGTTTTCCTTCGCCGGATGTGCTCAAATACGACATGACTTTATTCTACAGTTCCAATCTAGCACTTTTCCAGTCTTTGCTTCAATCATGGTTGCATGTCCTAAATTACAATAATGACAAGATGAATATAACAAACAGTGAATTTGATAATCTTCATCTAATGATTAAAATATGAACCAACCCTGTGATCCAAACACAATTTCATGAATTCGAATCTTCTGAAACAGTGTTTTCATTTTATAATATCTTCAATTTAGATCAGAGGTTGTGAGCTTTGTAAAGTATTCAAAACACAACTTACATTTTTTAGCCATTTTTAAAGAAAAATTTTAAAATTTGAGGAAACGGATGCAATTCAAGACAACATAATATGTGGACTAGAGAGAAAATTACATCAATTTTAATTGATATGCAGTCACCAAGGGTTTGAGTAAAATTTAACACATTTTCAACTAAAAATGAGCAGTTCTGATTTTTCAGAAATTCACAGGTGCAAAAGAAGCCCTTAGTGGACTGTGTTGTTTGTTCCAGATTTTATTCTTTGAACAATTTTATAAGGTCATATGCTATAAAACAAATTTAAAAAGACTTGTTTCCTTCATAGTTATATATGTAAGTATCAGTAAATATACCTACCAGATAAACTGTTGTACGCTTTTCCACTAACTCTTCTCTGCCAGCCAGCATCTACCGAAGCAGAAATCTCGCTTTCTCCATCCATTTTCCTTTATAAAAATATGATGTATTATAACTAAGAATTTTCAAAAAAGATCATAGTGAAACATCCCTTTCACAAACAATTCAAAATGTGTGAGGAGCCATTATTTGTTTTCCTGCTCTGTTATTTTTTGCAACAAAGTACATTCATGCACAAAAAAATTCATGCTAATTCCGAGGACAATATATAGTCAAGTAATTACTTCATCGATAATTCAATTTAATCCTTAATGTGTAGAAAAATTATTTTATAGAAGATTTATAATTATGAATGAGTCTATCTGTACAAAACCAAATCAAGAAAAGCTAAAAACATTGAAATTCCATTTCATTGACTATAATTAATGAAAAATGAAGGTCCATGTACAGTTGTACCTAAAATTGCTTTGAGAGTGAATGCTTTTCATTGTGACGTCATAATAGAGCGACACAAAAACACAATGCTCCATGACATATTTCATGTCTGGAAACTCAACAAAAACAATTCGTAAACAACAACAAACAGGATGCATAGATTGCATTAGAATGGAAATAACTATCTTCTATTTTGGTATAGTTATCGCATAACTATATTGCGATAGTTATTCCTTTTTTTTAAATAATAAAGTGCCGCGCCACAGCATGATACGCCCGTCAAAAAATTACAATTTTCTTGAACAGTTTAGGTGCAAGAAAATCACATCAACCTTGATTCTAAGATTTCGATGGTTTTTCCATTCCTTAAAATATTTATCCATCCCCTGTGATGTAGGCATCAATTATAATAAATATTACATCACTGATAGATTTCTGTGCTGGTTGTGTTAGACCTTGTCAAATGCCCATCATCAAATTAGTCTTAACAACTTAATCTATACCAAATTAATTTTGAAAAGAAAAGGCTGGCCATCAAATGACATATGTTATAAACTGACCAGCAGTTCTTCTGTCTAATCCCCAAAGGGTACAGATAAGGTCACTGCTTAATCAGAGCGACTGAGACAGCTAGCCTTCCTAAATTGAACTCATTAATTAATCTTTAACTGGATGCTTGTCTACTCATTACTACCAAGAGATGAATGGTTCTGCACTATCTACTATAAATTTAATAAAATACTCAAAGATTTTTTTTGGTTGAGATTTAATGTCCGACAGGTTTTAATATGTAATTCATATGGACATGCTGATTCCACCCCACCCCAAAAAATTAGTTTTTAAATTAATAATATTACATATCAGATTAGTCTATTATGCAATATCAAATTAGTTTTAATTACTTTTCATCAAATTCATTTTAAAACTTTTAAAACAACAAGAGCTATTTTTAATCAAACAGGCTTAACCATTTGCCCAATACTCAAGGGATATAGATAACACCAATGCTAGCTCCTCGCACTCAAAACCCATTAATTTCTCTCTAATTTGACATGCAATTTTCTGTTATCAAAATTCTTCTTGACCAGTGCTTGATAATTACACTCATGGGAGAGGCAGAATTTCTCTGACATACGTTACATTTGTTATAGATTGCTGTTAAGTATATGCTGTTAAGTATATGCTTAAAAAAAAAAGTATTTTCTTGATTTAACACTTTTTTAATAAGAACAGTGCAATACTCTTACATTATTTGGGATGTGTAAATGAATAGTAAAAAGACACATTTTTTTTTAAAAAATTCACTTAAATTAAAGGTCACAGTGACCTTGAAATAGGTCGCGACACACCTTCTACCTAAGATGCATAAACTGGCCAAGTTTGATGATTGTAGGTCTTATGGTTTTCTAGTTATGGGATTTTTCCATATTTGGCTATAACTTCTTAAATAAAGGTCAGAGCGACCTACTTTTTGTGCGCAACACACCTTCTACCCAAGATGCATCAGATGACAAAGTTTGATAATCCTAGGCCTAGTAGTATTAAAGTTATGAGCCGGAAACGAAAAAGCTAACAGACAGACGGACGGACACGAAGCCTATAACATAATACGTCCCGTCTTAAGACGGGCGTATAAAAATCCATTACCCTCCAGTTAATAAGTTCTCTTCCTCTTAACTTTGTTTTGCCGAGTCCTTCGCAAGAGCTTCTATTACCGGACCAACCTCTGCCTGTCTGTTGGCAACCATTTTGTGGTGAACAGGAGGTATATTTAGATGCTGTTGAATTGGGTAACTCCTCCACCTGCATGGATCATTTCTGTAAATAAATGTTAAGTAATTTTTTTATTAAATGACAGGCAGACATACAAATATAATTGCCATAATATATGATACAACCTATCAAAGATGGGCTTATAAACAAAAGGCCCATTTGACAAAGTTGGATTTGAGCCATTGAATAAGAGAACTAGTAATTATAAAGCATATCATAAATACAGGATCTCCCATGCTTTGTTGTTGGATATAATCTTTATCCAAGTTGTGTGGTTTCTTTTTTAACCTCTAGCCTTGGCTAGTCATATCCACAAAATAAAGGGGTAAACATAGGATAATCAATAATATCTCACCAGTTCCAAGTTTTGAATTTACATCCCAAGTTCTTGAAGGATGAACTCCATGCCTCTTTCCTGTTGGGACATTATTCACATGGTTGCAATTAGAATTACTACATGGAATCTGAAAAATTTGAAAAAATCTAAAAATGTTTGACTCTCAATTAATTCCAGCAACTTAGGCTTAATTATAAAATTGAACAGCAAGCCTCCCTCCAGTTTTACTTTTTGATTTCAAGGTCATAAAACTTTGATATAATTACGGCTGCATTTCATTTCCGGAATTTTTGGTTAATATCAACTTTTCATTTCCGACATTTTTTTGTTTTCATTTCCCACATTTTTTTTGTTTTCATTTCCGACATTTTCAAATACTAGTACATATATGTAGAACCTATAGTACCAGATATGATAACTTCACTTATGAAAAATTTAAAGGAATAAATCATACATAAATCACTGAAATCTAATTTTGTAAATCTTTCAGTGACTTGGACATTAGTATGTTGCTGTCACTGACATTTAATTTTATGCACATTAAATGTGGTGAACGTTTTATGCTCATTGAACTAGATGTTTTGTTTTTTTTGTTTTCATTTTTTTTTTACCTAGACTATAGTAGTGCTACTTATGAAAAATTTGTATATGTATCTAGATGTTTTGTTTTTTTATTTTTTTTATTAAATACGTTTTATGCTCATTGAACTTTTTTACCTAGACTTAGTGCTACATGTATATGTATCTAGATGTTTTGTTTTTTTATTTTTTATTAATATTTATGCCCCTCTTCGAAGAAGGGAGGGCATTTTGCTTTGCTGCTGTCTGACGGTCGGTCTAAAGGTCCACTTAGTTTCCGTTCATTTTCTTCACAACCGTTGCACATACTGAAATCAAATTTGGTATACAGATTTATCTCATACGTGCTGGTGATACAGGCCAGAAGATAAACTTTTGCCTTATCCACGGGAAGATGTTTTATCAATAGCACTTCCGGTTTTGACACGATCCCTCGCTTCAAGATTTTATTTTATTGAAACTTTTATTTGTGAAAATTATTGCCCTAATAAAATAAATGACGAAGAGCGATAATATCGTTAAAAGCAAGAAAAAGACTCGTATATATGTCAAAATAGTGTCTTATTCTATCAAGGAACCTGTATTGGCTACTTGAAGACAGATCCCCCCCTTTTAAACCGTTCTCGGTGAAAGTAAAGCCTAGCAGTTAAATTAGTGCTATAAGATTCCTTTAACATGTTCAATAATGCTTTCTCATATTATACTACGTATGCTTATACTATACCTTAAGTAATGAAAAAAAAATGTCGGAAATGAAAACAAAACATGTCGGAAGTGAAATAAAAAAATGTTGGAAATGCTATGCATATTTCCGGAAATGAAATGCAGAGATAATTACACATGTACTTCACATTCTGGTTTTTACAAGTGTGGTACATTAGTCTACCCTAGTTTTAAGGACAGACATATGAAAATATGGATTCAAAATTATATGTTACTATAACAGGAACTTTTTAAAATCAAGTTAACATGGTTATACTATTTTTAATTGTAAATGCCCTTCAAGGGCACTACCTATCTTCACTAAAAATATTCATATAGGCCTGTAATTTAAAAAAAAACAAAGTATAAGATTACCTTTAAGATAGCGGCCAATCCGTAAGTGTTGATCCCTAGCTATAGTGTGATGGAGATGAAGTGGGACACCACACTTATCACAGGCTTTGAGGGCTTCGGCCAGTACCCCTAGTTCAACGATCCGTCGGCCAGTGGACCAAGTGCTGTCTGGCTCAGACGAACTGTCTCCGTCAATAATGACGTCCTTCGTTGATATGTCCTATATGTCTGGGAAAGACGAAAGAGACGGAGCAGCGGCGTGGCGTTGTCCTGGGCATCCCGCGTAAGAATGATCTTTCGTAATAGCGGACCGAATCCTAAATCGCATGGATGGATACCTTTTCCCTTCTCTCTCTCTCCTTTGCGGTGCAAAACCAACTTTTCTTATTTACTTTACGCATTTTTGACGTTTCGCCTTCTCTCGGTGTGTAAACAGACGACAATGGGCTTAGTGCTTGTCGTAAATTGCGCCAAAGGCAATCGGGAGAAGAAATTCGCAACGTTCACTTAAAGAAATTACAAAAAATCTTGTTAAAATAAACCAAAGACAGGATCACATCCAACAATTTGCTCAGTGTCTTGTTTTTGTCAGAGTAAAGTTGTGGCGATAAATCAAGTTGTGATTGATTTATTCCTTAGACTTATCGTAATCATTAGGATAGATTGGAGGAGTCGTTTAGTCTTATCACTTTCCCTCTTAACACATGTTCAACATCCATCCCGCCTCTAATTTTTGTCGATTGCTGAAACAAGACTTTAAATGTTATGACAATACACGGCTGCTGTTATTTTTCTACCGACATTTACACCATTGTAACTTGTTTTTGCAAAGAAGTTGCTCATTTAAAACCAGAAAAAAAAGGAAAAAACCAGATGCCGAGTGGCAGCCAAACGTGTATTCCAAAGCGACGGGAGTTAGATATTAATTATGAAAGCCGAGTACGTCCCCGCGACATGTGTTTGTAAACATGAATGAACAAAATATACATGAGAGAAGACTGTACTTTAAGAAGGATGTCCGCGAAAAACAGATGTAATAGTTCTACAACATAAACAAATTATTAACAGAGTTCAAAAGATTCATTTTGCATGTAAACATAACTAAAGCTAGCCGACGTTAAGTTAAACAATTCCTCGCTCCCTCCCCTCCTCTCTCTCTTTCTTTCTCCTTTTAGATATGAATTTTCATATTTTTTAGAGCGAGAAAAAAAACAAGTCTTACTTCATAATTTATTTTTATAGATTCTAAAGTTTATCCCCAATTGTTTGATCAATCAATTGAATTTTGTAACAATAAACAGAATTTGTTTATTGAACATGTACAAGATACAAGATGTTTCATTTACCAATCAAAGGTCCTGAAAGGCATTTCAATATATATAATTGCGCACAATTTAAACATTTTACAATATAATTTTTATTATAAACAGTTATATAATTGACCAAGTTTAATTATTTTCAGGGTCATTGATCAGTTGACAATACATATGTCCTCTCACTCCAGAGGAATGTCAATGATCAAAAGACAATACAAAAATAATTTGTCAAATGATATCAAATCTGAAATACAGTTAAGAAGGATTAAATGAATACAGATCCCAGGTTTTCTATTTGCAATAGTTTGCCACTGAGGTAACTTTATTATCAGAGTATTTTGGAATATTTAATTTTTTTCCTGTTTTTGCCAATATTCCTTACATTCATTTTCCCCAAATAAATTTATACACTAACTTTGTATAAAGGCAGAAGATATATTTTCAAACACAACATTTCATTTTAAATATAGTTTTCTAATGCATTAATCTTATCGTAAGTCCGGGGAAACAAAATTTCAATGCTTACGATATACATGTAACGTTAAATTATGTAAGAAAATGCCATAAATTAAAACGATTCAAGAGAGTCAAACTAATGTTGTCATACAAGTAATATAAGAACAACCCTTTATTTGAAAATTTAGCTTCAACTTGGTAGTATATTGTAAATCCAAGCGGTGCCCTTATCTTTTGACATGATATATCAAATCAAATCTCTCTGTAAAGAAATAATCATGTTTTAAACCATTTAAAAAAAGAAACGTAACATTACAACTTACCTGCCAAAGTGAAAAACAGAAGAATAGGAAGGTGCATCAAGTATTCCTTTCCTTTTAAAAGCGCATAAATGGACAAACCTTTTTTTCGCATTTTTGTCAATTTTTTCTAGACAAGTCTGAACGGGAAAGTTAATCAGCAGGTAATATAGGGGCGCGTGGTCACTCCGCATCAAAATAGAGACGTTTATTGCGAACTAGCACCCATAGTTCGTCAGTTAAACAAGTTTGATGATAAGCCTCGAAGTATCACGAACTTCCAAACTCTTTCGCCTGTCTCATTTAGCCAAAGTATCCGAAACATTTGTTTAGCTGTGTGTTTATGCATCTGGATTTGCGATTTCTTTGCATTCGTTACATTTCTTCTTCTGAAGGAATCTCGAGAAATGCAAACAAAAATTAGATAGAGTATTTGTATCTTGCAAAAGGGAGAAATAAAACTATTTTCTATAGCGTTTGTTTTGGAGATTGATTTTAAAATTTTTTAAAGGCATTTTATAGAATTTCTGAATAAATGACGTTCCTAACGGGTCTGTATGAAGAAGTGATGTCAGTTTGTGGAAGGGGAGCAGCCCTATGATTCTGCTTTTTCGAATATGAGATTTAGGTGGGTGAACAAGCAGATTTAAAAAAAAAAAGGAAGTTAAAGGAAAAAAAGAGCAAAAAAAATTATCATATGTTAGTATCTAGGGGATATAAAGAATCAGTGTGATCAATAAAATATATAGAAATAACGTACAATATTCAAACTCAAAAGTTCACTAAACAATTAAAAATTTGAGCACAGAAAACACGGACCTCTAAACATCAGATGTGGGATCAGGTGCCATGGAGGAGTAAGCATCCCCTGCCAATCGGTCACACCCGCTGTATGCCCCTGGTCATGTTTTGGAAAGAATGATTGATTGATTGATTGATTGTATATTGTTTAACGTCCCTCTCGAGAATTTTTCACTCATATGGAGACCTCACCGTATGCCGGTGAAGGGCTTCAAATTTTGACCTTTACTCGGCACTAAGGGCCATTGAGCAGTGAGGGATCTTTATCGTGCCAAAGCCTGTCGCTGACACGGGACCTAGGTTTTTAAGGTCTCATCCGAAGGACCCGCAACTTTCACTTCAAAGTGCCGAGCGCATAGCGAAGTAACAGTTACTACCCATTTTATCGATTGGGTCAGTCGCGGCCGAGATACGAACTCACGACCCCCGATCACGGAGCGAGCGCTCTACCGACTGAGCTACCGTGAACGGTTTGGAAAGAATGAAAAATCGACAATACAGTGTGTATGTAATGGCCGATCGATCAGTATGAAAAATGTCAGTCAGCATTTGACTCATTGATTAATTGTACATTATACTTACTGACAAGGTCATTGCATGGATGAAGGAACTTACGAAATGGAGACTTTAAACGACACTGTTGATATTCTTGTTTTAGGAAATTATTTGTCAATAAATTATAGTCTTAGAAAATGCTAATATTTAGAGTTTGCTCTTCCGTATGGATTCATCTAAGATATTTAAAAGTTCCGTATGGAGGTGATGAAAGGTATATATATATTTATATAAGTTAGGGAAATTGTCGATAGAAAATTTAAGGTCATCACGTTTATCATAGAGCTTGGTTGTTCGATTAACATTAACGTCTTTTTCAAGTAAAATATCCAAGTATGAAACAGATGTGTCAAACTCTGTATTATTATCCTTCAGAATTATACAGTCAATCTGACTGGTTAAGAGCAGGTTACGTGCAGCGAGACAACTCGTGATGTCTCCCTCATGCGCAGGGTGACAACTGTTATCTCCCTTCAGATGAAATTGAAATAGCGTAAGCGAGCATGCAGGGTTACAACTGTGTTGTCGCCCTTTGAATGAAACTTCAGTGATTTATGATCACTCCTATTCATAAGTACAATTGCTAAATATGCGGGATCAGTAAACAATAAATTCTAACGATGACGTCAAAGTTGTCTGTTGACATATTTTGATAGTATGGAATCGGAGCAGAGTAATAGAAAACACGAGGTTTGATTTCTATTTTCTTTAATTGATAATTGTATTTTCTTCAGGATAATAAAACTATTATCCCAGTGAGTTTGAAATATTATACACTTATCCACTGGTTGTGAGTGGGATAGCTCTTTTATCAAACCCGCGACAGGGAACTATTCCCCAAGGGCTTGCTTATTATACTGATGTATAATATAATTTCTGAGGTTTGAATTTTTTTGTGTAAGAAGATAATACTCCAAGAATAATCTGAAATCCTGAGGACGTCACAATGCTACCGAAGTCGTTATGACATCATCAGTCAATAGCTTTATCACTGGAAATCAAAATTGGAGGCAAAATTTGCATGAAAATTTTCCGAGGGAGGATAGCAAAAACTATACCCCGGGGTATAGCTTTGCTATGCATGAACTATGAAAGATAGCTTTTTTACCTTCTGAACTTTATATAGGAAACATTTTAACAGAAGTATAAGAAAAGATATTATGCAATTATTGACAGTTTAGAAGGGAGACATCACCAATTATCAGGTCTGACTAGGGTTGTTACCCTCGGGCGCGAGCATCGGGTGACAACCTTTCTCAAACCTGATAATCGGTGATGTCTCCCTTCTAAACAGTCCATAATTGTATAATATCTTATATTTTAAGCTCAATGGGATATATTGTATCAAAATAAGAATGGAAATAATAATTTTTATCTAAATGTCCTGTTGAGGCTACATCAATTCAATTGTTTTCTTTTTGCCCGCGTGGGCAGTGGTTAGAGCGTTTGCTCTTGATTCGCAAAGAAAGGAGTCAACCCTAACGTTGTGGGTTCGAATCCAACTGTGGGACTTCGAGACCGGTCCTTGAGACCATATAAACCGAGGTCCCGTGTGGCAGTAGATGCTGGCACAAAAAGGCCCTGAGTGCCGAGTATAGGACAAAATGTGCAGCTTGCCAAGGGCAATTCGTGGCGTCTTCATATGAGTAAAAAAAATTCTCAAGAGGGACGTTAAATAACATGCAATATATCAATCAACCAATCTGTTCATATAAAAGATTTAGGAAAAAATGCTCCATGTGACTACAAAAATAGGTCTGCTTACATGTATACGGGACGCAATTGGTACCTATTAGATTCCAAAAGATTGTAGGAAGACCTAGTCTCCAAACACCACATGAATTTTGTCAATCAGAATTTCAAGCATCGACTTGAACTTGAATGTACAATCAGAATCTTCATTCTTTTAACAACATAATTTTGCAAATGACCAATGACAAGGTAAGTAAATTTACCATTTTTAGTGAAAAAAAACAGCTGTCAATGATATCAAAAACTTTTACTTAAATTTATCACGGTGAATGGTTGTATGTAATAAAGAAAGGTCGTTAGTTTTTTATGCTGTTGATATTGATAAAATTTGTGATTTCAAATTTTCCAAAAGTTTCGTGGAATTTTTAAGTATCGACACCTGGTTTACACCATTCATAGTCGTACACTACAACTGAATTTTCTCCTTCACCACTATTAATATTTTAGTGAGGAGTGAAGAAAGAGACGAAGTACATTTAATGGAACACGCTTTGCATCTTTAATATTATTGCCTGTAGTGTGAAGTTTTGGAATTCAGTATTGATGTGGTTATTCAAATTCATTCTGGTTGTTGGGAATATTAAAAAAAATCAAAACTGACATATGATTTCGAGGAATTTATACCTTACAAAGGGAGCTATGGGTATAAATTGGATTTCATCTAAAATTCAATTTAAAATGATAAGTCCTACAAAGACAATTTTGTTACCTATTTCAAAAGCAGAAACCAGTACATACTGTGAGTGTAATCTATCTTATTCTTTTTTCACTATCTGATTTTTGTTCCCTTTTGAACAATTAAACAGATGGGGATAGATAGTTTCATTTAGCCTCTCAAACTCTTTTATTAATTAATGCTACAGTTTTACATACATCCCATACATTTAAGGTATGCCACTCGTGATATTGTATGTTATCTTCCTGGCAAATCATAAGGGAAATATTCCCCAAGTTAAAGTGAGGGGTAAGTTACAAGATATCGAATTGAATAATTTGCAGAATTTTGTGCTAATAAATATTATTCAACCACAAGAAATACTACCTCATAAATTTTGCTTCTTTGTGCTTTTTTTTTTTTTTTTTACCAGATTTGTCATTGAATGTTGAACAATTTACATTTTATATTTTAGATACATGTATGTAATAAAAATGTATTATAATAAATAGTTTTGAAAAAATATGTTCTTTCTGAACTTATTAGCAGAAATATTTTTATATTCATATGAAACAGAAAGTGTGCAAAATCTTATGCGTGAAAAGAAAGAAAACACTTGCTGTGGCCTTCAACTCCAGATTTAGATATATTGACAACGTATTGTCAATTAACAACGATCATTTCCATTCCGCCGATTCGATATACCCTGGTGAGCTTGAGATAAAAGATACCACAAAGTCTGACACATTTGTTTCATTCTTGGATATTTCACTTGAAAAAGATGTTAATGGTAATCTAACAAATAAGCTATATGATAAACGTAATGACTTTAACTTTCTATCGTCAGCTTCCCTTACTTATGCAGCAATTTACTTTCATCACCTGCATACGGAGTGTATATATCTCAGTTGAGTCGATACGCAATAGCACGCTCTACGCATGTACAATTTCTAAACGAGGTAAATTATTGACAAGCAAGTTGATGAAACAAGAATATCAAAAGTCTCATTTAAAGTCATCATTTCGTAAGTTCAATGGTTGGTCCATTATTTAAACACTTAATTGACGACGGATTTTTCCATTATTTCCCGATCATGACAAGGAGCACACCGGCGGGTGTGACCGGTCAGCAGGGGATGCTCACTCCTCCATGACACCTGATCCCACCCCTGATGTTTCGGAGGTCCGTGTTTGATCTGCTCCTATTTTGTATTGTTTTATGAATTTTATATTAAATACTGTTCGTTATCTCCATATCCCCCTTATTTAAAAACCAGACGAGTGACACCTTAAGTTAATCCATTCTAATATCTTGTCAATGTCATGTTTTTCATGTTTTCCATGGATTTGCGTAATCCTCAACAGAATCTATAATAAAATTATGCCGTCTTTTCAAGTATATGACTATAAACGAATGTTTACCATGTACTCTCTCTTTCCCTCTGAGGCCCTTTAATCCTCAAATATAAACTTATTGAAAATTGAAATTGAATAAAGGAAAATATTATTGGAGCACACTAGTCTTGTAATCATGAACAAATTATGAACACATTTAGTCTAATACCCTTCCCGAATTCCATTTTCTCTTCATTGAGAGTGCATGAGTGGCATTGTAGGAAGGGTTTCATAAAATCCTTTAATTCTTATACTGTTAAGGTTATACGCAACGTACTTTTAACTTTTTTGGATTCTCCCTTGGAGTTGAAGAGTTCCACTAAATGAAGGACCTGTGTGCAATATTTTTAATGTCTATATATGGATTTGTACACCTCTTCTTAAACAATTTTTAATGGAAAAAAATCTGGAATACATGTTTTATAATTTTTTTACATTTTTATTTGAATAATGCAAAAATTTTCAAAATTCGATATCTTTTCAAAGCCCCTGGTAACGCATGCTGATTTTTTGTCTAAGAACATTTAATGATATTATAAGTTTAAATTTAGAATATCTTGGAAAACTATCAGTTGGTAAGGTACGTTGTGTATGTCCTTAAGTGCAAATCAGACAATAAAATATAAACTTGATAACTTGAGCTCGTATGGAGACCCCGCTAAACATATGAACCAAAGGCTAAACGATTTTTAGATCAACATAATCTACTTATAAATCAAATATAAAAGAAATTTCATCCCGAAACAAACAGAAAATCATGCAGTAAATTTTACTCTATAGCCAAGGATATAAAGGGAGTTGTAAGTAAAACTGATCTGTACCAGGAGGCTACTTTATTCCAAAATGGTGTATTTTTAATTGGAGAAAAGAACACAGCAAAATAACACGTGACATTAGATGTCCTTACATAACAATATTCAAAAACTTCCCATCTACATGACTTAAATGATGTAAGTAATTAATGTATATCCGCTACGTTACAGTCTCATTTTCAATAAGATCTTTTTATTTTTCCAATAAGGTCATGTATTTGATGTAAATGTATTAAGTAATTAGGATATAAATCAAAGGCATATAACCAGGTTATATATCTTTAATTAAACCAGAGACATTAATATGTCTCTAATATTACTACGTTTTAATGAGGAATTTCGAAATAAGGCGTGTTGATGTCGGTTTTTAAGAAAATAAAATGGAAAAAATCTAATAGACTTTGTTTCTATTTTCACCATAATTTTGACCTTTGTTTAATTTCAAAAGACGTCTGAAATAAATTTTTTGTGTGACTAACGTAATTAGTAATATTTTTCTATGCTAATTAGCTTTTTCGAATAATATTTGCATAGAATAAATACATGTCCCCTACCGGATTCCCCTTTTCTCTTTAGGCATATGGAGAAATGGTGTGCAATTCATTCATGAGATTGGTACCACGTGATATATTCCTAATTAATATTCATTAGATACTTAATATACTTGAAGTTTTATATTTCCTTATATATTTATGTTAAAACCTGCAAGCCTCTATCGTTTTGTATTCTGTTCAAGCCTCCGTCATATTTACATAGCGAGAATTTAGTGTGGTTTACAAGAGACAAATGAGGTATATTTTGAATATCTAGAGAAAATGTAAACGTGGAAAAAGACAGAAATACTTTAGACAATTACTTGAGAAGCATATATACGAGGGTTGATTCAAAAGCAATGTCATTACTTCGATAAAATTGCTACTAGTCAGCGTAAATTAACGAAATTATACATGATTGAAGCTATATTTATTACAGATCAGTCCTGAAAAATTCAAGTTCAAATGATTCATACTTTTCAAAATATCGAATTGTATACAAAGTGAAATTATGGTAGTCGCCGCACCTAAATACCGTCATATGACGGATACACAACGCCATATTCTTGAACGCTTCCCCTTCGCGATCGTTTAATCATTAAATATTTGAGATTTACAGATACATTCACATATATTTCTCTTTTTTGTAAGAATTATTAGCATCCATTGTACACTCAATTGTACACACACTCTATATATAATTTAGTTCTCTGTCAAAATTCTTTAAATAGTACCATTTGACAAACTTAAAGTTTTTCATATCCTTGTAACTGTCTAACTGTCTCTCTCTTTTTGGACAACGTTAGACACCATTAAACGTTTCGGCCCGACCTACCTTTTTCGGTCTTACTGTCCTTTGCTGATCATTCAGTGACCCACGACCCATAAAAATGGCTGAAACCATTTATAAACAAGTCTCTAATTTGTATTATCTCCTCTGTATGTCTGATTGATCATCGGAACTGTTTCTAAGAGCGATTTCCCCATTTTGTAGCAAAAAATGCATCACATCTCGTTTCAGCGGTTATTCTCCATTTCGAAATTTCCTTTGCTCAATACAGCAGATTAAAAGAACAATGTTTTTGATCGAAAAACAATGACGTCATTTTATTTTCAACTTAAGACTAGAAAATGTCAAAAAATTTGTCTTTTAAAATATTGGGCGATTAGAAGCTTTTTTAGATGATTTTCAATATATTTGTCTTTTCTCATTCTAACAATTTACACTTTAAAATGTGACGTTTTGCTGTGACGCGGCGACACCCCTTATGTTTAATATTTTAAACGTGTATAAAATTAATTTATTTAAACTTTTTTCAATGAAAATTTCGATTGTGATAAAAAAAAAAAATTTCTGCATCTTTTGGTATATAATATTTGATAATATGACGCAAAATTTTAAAGATACTGACACTGTGACATTACTTGTGGGTCAACCTTCTTATAAAAGATCGCTGTGAATAACAATTCTTTATTTAACAAAGGTCATTTGCAGAGTGTCTTTGTCACTAATACAAATGTTGTTCTCAATTTAAATTTAGTTTTTAAAATTATTCATAAATAAAGAAAAGAAATGACGGCACATTACGGAATATGAAGGTATATCAGCACAGATCTAGTGAAACTAATATCTATGTCTATTCATTTTATATATCACAAGAAATAAGCTTTTACATAGATTGCAGGGTGTGATTTAAGGAATCACAATCTAGTAGTATTGTATGCCAGGGCATAAACGATAGTGGGAAACATTGGACAATTTGCAAAACGGGCGAAGCATAAATTATCCCATGTTCCCTACTATCGTTGAAATCCCTGGCATACAATACTAACCAGACAGTGCTTCCTAATATTACCATTTTATTTTGAAATAAAATTGTAGATTTAAATGTTAAAAATGTAGACATAGATTTAAAGTACACGAGGACTCACATGCCAATTGTAATAGTCCTCACCAACTGAAGTCAAACACAAAGGCAGTCGCACGAGATTTACATACATATTTGGCCTTGTACTGACTCGGGACAGGAAATTCAGGAAACAACATGTAAATGCGTCCAATGATTTTATTTATGAGGATGATGAGATATGACGATGACAATGACGTGGAAATATGACTTGAAGTTGACATGGAAATGACGTGAATGACGTTGAAATGACGATTACATTGACATGGATGTAGACGTAGAATGACTTGGAAAATATGACGTGGAAAATGACGTGGAAATAACTTGGAAATGACGACGATTTACTACAAAAAATACAAAGAAAAAATACTATAAATACAAGATATTTCAAGCAAGTTACACATAATAACACATCCTAGCAAATAATCATGATGTATTACATGTTCTAGAAAATACTTCAATACACAAACACTGTCGTCAAAATGTAAACAAAGAGGCATAACTCTTATTGACACAAATCATGATAGAAAAACATGGCAGTAAAAAGATTTATCTCCCGTACGTAATAAATGTGCAAATATCCAGCGAAATTACAATATGTATGTCAATATTGTACCTAACTTACTAATTGCATTATAATTATTACTCCAACATAGTGCACAAGTACCTTCAACATTAACTTTATAGCGAGATTCATAAAAATGCTAACTTTACCGAGATGACAAATATACAGTGTATACAGCTAAATGATTTACATAGAAAAACTCACCAATTAGAAGTTTCCTCCGGTGAAATAAATATCAGTACAAAGACTGGAAAATATCATAGTAAACTAGCAAATGGCAAACTGGTAACAATTGCGGCACCAAGCCCTGCCGCGTTCTGCCATGATAACACGGGCTCTACACAAAAAATTACTGTGCCCTAAAAACGATGACGTCACATCACACTAATGACCCTAAAAAGTCTAGTAACCGAAATGGCCGTAACAATCCAGCCCCCTAATTGTGGAACAAATGTGACACAATTACAAAAATAGATATATACATTATATCCCACCATTAACCCAAAAATTGTATAAAAATACAATGCAAGTTAAACAGGTTACACTGTACTAAATTCTCATCAAAAAATGATATATGCACATGATAAACATGATACCTAGCAAATTAAATACATGTACATGATAAAGAAGAATATTCATATTCAAAGTCTCTTAGTAAACACACCTCAAACAGTCTTTTAGTCCATTTCAAGTATCATACACAGCTTATCGACAGGTCGCGTTAAAATGTTTGTCGCAGTTTTCACCTTGACCTGACGCACGAGTCCATTTTTGTCGGGAATCGTCTCATGTACTACTCCCATCGGCCAAGAGTTCCTCGGGGCGTTCGAATCCACAACTAACACAATATCACCGATTTGAAAGTTTCTCTTGATATCATGCCATTTTTGTCGTTCCTGGAGAAGTGGTAAGTACTCGCGTACCCAACGATGCCAGAACAAGTTGGCCATATATTGTATCTGTCTCCAACGGCGTCTGTGGTACAGATCTGTCTTATCGAAGACTCCTGGAGGAAGGTTAGGTTTCCTCTTCATCAAAAGCAAATGATTTGGAGTAAGTGGCTCCAAGTCACCGTGTTGATCCGTGTTCTTTGTTATTGGTCGGTCGTTGATTGTATATTCAATTTCACACATTAGAGTATGAAGTCCTTCGTCATCAAGTGTCTGCTCCTTTAGTACACTATTCATGGCTTTACGAATAGATCTAATTAACCTCTCCCAGGCTCCCCCGTAGTGTGATCCAGCTGGTGGGTTAAACTGCCAGTCTACGTTCTTTTGTAACATCGCGGATTGAATCTGTGCTTGGTTCCATTCTTGTATGGATTTTTTAAGTTCGCGTTCGGCACCCACAAAGTTAGTTCCGTTGTCAGAACGTATTTTCTTTACTTGTCCTCTTCTTGCTATGAAACGACGTAGTGCATTTATGTAGGAATCTGTATCCAACGAAGCTGCTATCTCTAGATGCACTGCACGACTAGCTAAGCAAGTGAATATAACACCGTAGCGTTTCACACGACTCCGTTTCACTTTGACTTCAAATGGTCCAAAGTAATCCACACCAACTCTGCTAAATGGTGGTTCGTCTGGGATAATACGATCTTTGGGCAGACTTGCCATCTTTTGCTCTCCAACCTTAGATCTCTGTCGTCTACAAGTAACACACTTTGATATGACTTTCCGAATTGCAGATGGAGCATGGATAAGCCAGTAACGTTCTCTCAGCTTAGCTAGCATATGATTTCTGCCACTATGTAACAAATCCTGATGAATTTGGTTAAGAATTAGAGTGGACACATGATGATCTTTGGGTAAAATCACTGGAGGTTTCATCTCCTCTGGAAAACTTGACTTGTGTAAACGGCCACCGACTCGCAAAAGACCAGCATCCAAAAATGGATCCAGGCTCCAGATTCTGCTACCATGACTGACACTAGAGTTTCTTGACATAAGGCTTTTTATTTCCATAGAAAATTCTTGCCGCTGAATGAAAGTAAGTATAGCTCTTTCTGCTTCTTTCAAGTCCTCATATGAAATGTAAGCCTTGTCACAAGAATCATTCTGTACCAGTGAGTGAGAATCGAGTCTTTTCACACGAACACGTCTTAACAGTTCTTTTCGTACCTTCAAAATCCAGGCCACGTTACGTTTTTTCAATAAATACCAAGACGAATGATGTTGAAACAGCTTGTCAATATCTGCGGTATTCTCTTGTAATTCCTGTGATTTTGTGACAACTGTCTTTACATTAACCTTTTTCACCTCTGGGTCGTTGTCAAACAGTTCTGTGTCAGTGAGGTGTGAAGCTGGTGTTGGCCAATGATCCTCAGGTTCAGACAGGAAATTGGGGGGTTTGATCCAGTTCTCCTGTTTCAATAAGCCATCTGCAGAGATACCTCTAGATGCATGATCCGCTGGATTCAACCTTGTGTTGATGTACGCAGCTTGGATAAGGCTGCCTGTAGAATATCAAACTGTTCAAACTGTAGTAACTTCTCTGAATGATATCGTCATAATAGAATAGTCAGCATACTTGAGCTGACATAACGGGGAAAGTGTCATAATTATTACACGGCATGTAGATTTATTATGGGGATTTGTGTTTAATTCAAGAGTAAGGTTTGTTTTTATAAGCTTGTGTGTGCTGTTTTAATGTTTAACATTTGATATTTAAATTCCGACATGCATATATTCAAGCAATAGCAAAAGTAGACAGAGTTAGAATTTATGAATCGTGTTTATATTGGACTGGCACAAGTGAAAGACAAGGATAAATTGAAGATATTTTGCGTGAATCTAAAAGAGTAGTATGTCTTCTAATGAATTTTGCTGGGGGATCGTTTGCATTTTATCCGTTTTTGTATAAACGATAAAGAGCCGCCATCGTAAAATATTTTCCTAAGAAGAGAGTACCATGGATCACGATGAATTGATCTATGTAACAATGCACAATAATTGTGTTATGCAATTTTTGTAAAACATTTAAGAATATCAAAAATGTCCATCACGTGATCAACACAGTCATCTGACATCACAGAAATGCATTATTATAATACCTGATTGAACTGTTATCTCAAGTCGACTGCGATTTCAAACAAGGCTAACATATTGAAATTAAAATCTAGCTCAAAATAAAATGTATATTTTTAAGACATTTTAGGCCTTCGGACAGCCTTATCATAACTGCGTATCTCCAGTCAGTTGGTTGTGACCCTTCGTGGATAACTGCTAATCTGTTTGCAACAAAAGTATGAAATCTCGCCGTACTATTCTGGATATAACGTAGAACGGCCATGCTGTCGGTCCAGTATGTAATACGATGGACAGGAATGTTCAATTCTCTAAGTAACATCCTATTGGTTCTGACGGCTACTGTGGCTGCTGTCAACTCCAATCGTGGAATAGATGTTGTCTTAAGTGGAGCAACGCGGGATTTTCCCATAATAAAGGAACAGTGACGTTCACCAGAAGCGTTCTCCATGCACAAGTATGACACTGTACCATATCCAGTTTCGCTCGCATCAGCAAAATGATGTAACTGTACCATGAGTGGATGAAAACCATAAGGTTTCAGACATCTGTTCACTTTGAAGTCCCTCAGTTTCTCGAGATCTTGGTACCAATTATTCCACTGAGTAGCAGTGTCATCTGGAATCTTGTCGTCCCATCCAAGCTGAAGTTTGCACAATTCCTGCAGAATGATCTTGGCCTTGAGTAGTAGTGGAGCTAAGAATCCCAGTGGGTCAAACACACCGCTCACCATTGACAGAATTCCCCGCCTTGTAAGTGGTTTCCTGTTGAAGTCCAGTTTAAACTGAAAGATGTCAGAATTCACACACCACTGGATGCCGAGGGCTCTCTCTACCGGTAGTGTATCATAGTCAAGATCCAAGTCCTTGACCTCTTTAGCTCTATCGGATTTTGGTATCGAATACATGACCTCACGACTGTTGCTGATCCACTTCGATATATGAAATCCCCCACTTTCCAATAGTCCCTGTAACTCTTTCACCAATGTCACAGCATTTCTTACAGAATTCACTGACTTCAGACAATCATCAACGTAGAAATTCTGAAGAACTGTCTTAATTGTCTCATCACTAAAATGTCCTGACCAATCTTGAGCTGTTTTTCGTAAACAAAAGTTGGCGCAACTAGGCGAAGATGTGGCTCCAAACAAATGCACGATCATCTGGTACTCTAGTAAACTATTGGAAGGATTTCCATCTTTCCACCAGAGAAATCGTAGAAAAGTAGCATCTTGTGGCGGAACACGTACTTGGTAGAACATGCTGTCGATATCTCCCATCACAGCGATTTCCTCCTCTCTAAATCGCATCAAAGTCCCGATGAGTGTGTTTGTCAAGTTAGGGCCCTGTAATAATTGTTCATTCAGTGAAGTCCCTTGGAACCTTGCTGCACAGTCGAACACAACTCGAAGTTTTTTCTTCTTGGGATGTAGTACACCATGATGCGGCAAATACCAAACGCGTCCATCATCTTGATTCAAGTCTTCTATAGGTACCTTTCGTGCATAGCCTTCGCTAATAATTTTGTCCATGAAGGCTTTATAATTGTCATGGAATTCACTGTCACTGCAAAGTTTCTTAGCCAACGAATTCAGTCTCTGTTCTGCTTGTTTTCTGTTGTTTGGCATTATCACATTTTCTGATTTGAATGGTAGACCAATGACATAATGTCCATTTTCAAAGCGAACTGAATTTGTCACAAAGTCGAGAAATCTCCTGTCGTCCCTTGATGGCTCTGGAACATCATCGATAGCTCTTTCACTAAAGTCATGATTGAATTGATATCTCACTTGCTCCTCTAATCTTACGTCGATACGGTTGACTGTGACGTATGTACTGTAAGTACCATTCTCGGGTCTGGTATCAAGCGGTCCATTGATTACCCATCCCAACAGAGTCTTAACAGCGAATGGACCTTTGTGTACACTAGTAATCACATCCCATGGCTCCATTGCTTTCGGTACATTGACACCAATCAACAAACCAACATCACTATCTATGGTGTCAATATGTACATCACGCAGATGCGGCCATCTATGTAGGTCCTCGGACGTAACAATGTCTTTCTTAGATATGGGCAGATCCGGTTGAGTGTATATAGGAGGTAAGTCAATTGTGTGATCACCATTTAAATCACTCACTTCAAGACCAGATAGAATGCTACAGTTCTCTGTCCTCTGCTGTCCCATGGTTGTTAAGTTGAGCACAGTCTTTTTGCCTTCAAGGTGAAGTGATCTTGCGATTTCCTCTGTACAAAATGTCGCTGTACTCCCAGAATCCAAGAAAGCATAAGTTGTAATAAATTTGTCACTGTTTCTTGATTTCAGACGTACTGGTATGACTGGAAGCGCTTGCCTCACTGAGTCCCCAGCCCCCATATGCGCTGTTGAAGAAACGGCTGCAGATGAGCTGTTGTTGTTTTGATCAGTAGTCACTGGGTTTTCCTTGCCTTGTCGAGGATTCACATGAAGTATAGATGGGTGACACTTCTTACAGTGAACGCAGTATAACTTGTGTTGACAGGCTCCCTTAAGATGTCCTGATCTCAAACACGAGAAACACAGTCCCTTAGACTTCAACACTTCATATCTGTCCTTTAAGGGTAGCTTCATAATGTTCCGACACTCTTCCAATGAATGTGATGTGCCTTGACAATAAGCACATGGTTTCACAAATCCAGATGATTTTGGTCTATGTTGTTCATATGCATAATTGTTTGTAGATAGATGAGATTCTACGGTCTTAGTTGCAAAGTTCCCTTTCTGTTTTGAGAATGTGGCTGGTTTAACATTCTGTCCGTGGGTTGAAGATGTTGAGATATTCATCACTTCTCTTCCATAAATAGGGTCGTTGGCCTTTTTAGCTTCCTTACGAACAAACTTCACTAAGTTCTCAAACTTCACAACTTCTCTTCTGTCTTTGAGCTCGTACACAACATTTCGCCACTTTTCTTGTAAGTAGAACGGAAGTTTCTTTATAATAAGTTTCATGTTCTCTGGATACTCTAAGGCTCTAGCGCTGGCTACGTTATTGACAGCATGCTGACACTCTGTAAGGAATATTGCATATTCATCAAGTCCCCTTGCATTGTCTTGTTTTATTGATGACCAATTCAATGCTTTTTTCACATAAGCTTGCGCAACAATGTCTGGATCACCATATCGATCTTTGAATTCACCCATCGCTGCCTTGTATCCTCCTTCAGCATTTAAGTGTGAATATCCAGTCACTATTCTGTTAGCCTCACCACTGGTAAATTGCAGAAGAAAGTTCAAACGTTCTTCATATGAGCTGGTATTAGCACACACCCTTGTATTAAACTGTCTAATGAATCTCTGGTAGTCCATTGGATTCCCTTCAAACTTCTGTATTTCTGATTTTGGCTTATTTAGTTCTTGTGCCACAATAAGTAGGCCTTCATGTTCACGATTATGACTGTGCGCATGTCCTGAATTGTACAAGTCACCGAACGTTGGTAACGCAGGTACATAAGGCGTACTATGTTGTGTCGACATAGGAATACTATGTGGCGTACATGTAGTCACACTAACAGGCACATGTGATGAAGTACCTGGAGTCACAAATGGCGTATTCCAGTTCTGCTGACTAACAGTCCTTGACACAGATGTAAACAAAGGCGCATGTGGATTCAAGGTAGACTGTGTGGTAGACACAGGTACATGCAAATGCGGTAACTGCTGTGCAGCTGGTTTCAATACAGGTGAAAACAAAGGTGCGCCACGGTGATGCAATTCTGCATGGATATCACTCAGAGCTTCGGTAAGCTGTTGGTCCCTCAATTCACTCCTTTCAAGTTCTTCAATAATTTTAGTTCGAGCGTCACTGATCTTTAGTGCTGTTTGTATGTGAAGTTCTTCTTCTTTCATTTTTAACTGTAGTTTGGCCTCCTCTATCTGTTTCTTTTCTTTAAGCGCAGCTGCTTTTGCCAATAGTTCTGCTTTATGTTGTTTTTCCTCAAGCTTGGCCACTGAATAGTTACTTGACTTAGAAACAATGGATCGTTTATCAGATGGAACACCTTTCGAATGTCTTGAAAACCATTTTTCCACTGACTCTTTCACATCCATTAGTTGTTTATTTCTTCCGGTGAATATTTCTTCATCTACCGTCTGCTCGCTCGGGGAGATGAATGCTTTAACTTCTTCCTGGAACTCTAGAAAGTCCTCGTAATTGTCTAACCATTTACTGTAAGCAGTTTTGATGGTGTCTTTATCATCTGACGATTCCAAAAGTCCTTTTAAATTATCACTAAGTGCTAACAGTACCTTGTAACATTTCTCTCTGTTGTTGAGCTTAGTCTCTAAAGTAAATTCAGCACCTTTTTTCAGTCATCTTTTTCTTTCTTTCACTCCTTCTGGGCTGACCCTCCTGTGACTCACCCTCCTCTCCTTCCTTCATCTCATCTTCTAATTGTAAATATTTTGTACTGACTCGGGACAGGAAATTCAGGAAACAACATGTAAATGCGTTCAATGATTTTATTTATGAGGATGATGAGATATGACGATGACAATGACGTGGAAATATGACCTGAAGTTGACATGGAAATGACGTGAATGACGTTGAAATGACGATTACATTGACATGGATGTAGACGTAGAATGACTTGGAAAATATGACGTGGAAAATGACGTGGAAATAACTTGGAAATGACGACGATTTACTACAAAAAATACAAAGAAAAAATACTATAAATACAAGATATTTCAAGCAAGTTACACATAATAACACATCCTAGCAAATAATCATGATGTATTACATGTTCTAGAAAATACTTCAATACACAAACACTGTCGTCAAAATGTAAACAAAGAGGCATAACTCTTATTGACACAAATCATGATAGAAAAACATGGCAGTAAAAAGATTTATCTCCCGTACGTAATAAATGTGCAAATATCCAGCGAAATTACAATATGTATGTCAATATTGTACCTAACTTACTAATTGCATTATAATTATTACTCCAACATAGTGCACAAGTACCTTCAACATTAACTTTATAGCGAGATTCATAAAAATGCTGACTTTACCGAGATGACAAATATACAGTGTATACAGCTAAATGATTTACATAGAAAAACTCACCAATTAGAAGTTTCCTCCGGTGAAATAAATATCAGTACAAAGACTGGAAAATATCATAGTAAACCAATGATAACACGGGCTCTACACAAAAAATTACTGTTACGTCACATCACACTAATGACCCTAAAAAGTCTAGTAACCGAAATGGCCGTAACAGGCCTCCTTAGCCTCAGACAAAGATACAGATTCGCACGAGATGTGCATGCATACTAGGCTTCCTTAGCTACTGACCTATCGACCTGCCTAAGTTCAGTTCAGTTCAGTTGTGGATATCCCTCCTATGTATAAGGAGCACCCGTGAAGGTTGTTTCATAAAGGCCTGTAAAATAAAGTTAGAGGTGAAAGACCAACTAAAAATAAAACGAATTTACATACTATACAGTAGCTTAACTCCTAAAGTAAAATTGTTTCGGCCCTAAAAGTTCTTAAAAAAAAAAAAAAAAAAAAAAAAAAAAAAGCCACAATTAAAAAGAACTTTACACCGTTTCCATGACTGTTTCTATTTAAAAAAATTATTTTAACTCTAAAAATAAAATACTGTGTCATAAGTAAACTAGCAAATGGCAAACTGGAAACAATTGCGGCACCAAGCCCTGCTGCGTTCTGCCATGATAACACGGGCTCTACACAAAAAATTACTGTGCCCTAAAAACGATGACGTCACATCACACTAATGTCTAGTAACCGAAATGGCCGTAACAGGCCTCCTTAGCCTCAGACAAAGATACAGATTCGCACGAGATGTGCATGCATATTAGGCTTCCTTAGCTACTGACCTATCGACCTGCCTAATTTACAGTCCTGTAGATTTATCAAAATATCAACTCCGCTTACTTTCAAAAAGTTTCACAGAGAACAAAATTAGAAATGGAAATATTTACAATGTTTTCTACTTCTGTTTCATTGGTCATTGTGATTTAAGACAAGAACATTCATTGTCATGAGTACAACAAATGGAGATTATCATTTGTATTGCGTGAAGATCTAGCCTGAAAAGATTGCACAGAATACCAGTAATTCTTTAAATCGATCTTTGTAACATGATATACTAGTAATCTCAAGATATATTTTCTATTCTACACAATTAAGTCAATGCAATTTTCAGACAAGATTTTATTATAAGTTCCTGTGTTACTTGTATAACTTATATACTCTGCTCTACGGGGTTTTTTGCGCTTTTCTTTTTTTGTTTATGCTGAGCATAATATTCCGACCTTTGGGGCCTTCTATTGGATTATATATACAACAACCCATTTCAAAGGAGTACCTTTATTTAAGCATCCGTTACATAAAAATTAGGGAAAAAAACACGATTATTCTCCGTGTTTTGTTTGATTTTCCTGCGATATTTGCATAATACATATTTAAATTTTCTTTGCTGCAAATATTTCATAGGCTCCGACAGAATAAATTCTATCATGTTTCTCGTAGTATGCTTGGAGAGTCCCCTCATTCTTCATCTGCGTCACATTCCGGATCATATTTTGAATTTCCGACTCCGTGCAAACGGACCAAAAAGAGTTTACGCCTCTCCAGGATTCATGCAGAGGGCCCTCTATGTTGTCATAATTTGGAAGAAACGATGCCATTAATTGTTTATAAGTCGACTTCAGTGAGAAGCCAGACTCTTCAAGCATACGCTTTATTTGTTTATGATTAGGTAGCCTCTTTTGCAATCTTTTTGTAGTTTCTGGTACTAGATTTGTGAACCAAAAGCCATCACAATTTTCTGGTGTTTCAGCAATGATGGTTAAAATCCCGCCTGGTTTCAGAATGCGATGGACCTCCTTCAGTGTTTGAACAAAGCCCGGGAATGATTTTCCATCAGGGTTTACCTCTACATGATGCAACACCTAGATAAGAAAAAACAAAAAAAATAATAATAAAGCAATAGAATTACAAATACAACTTATTTGTATAAATGATTTTATGCAGACGAATGTATTGATAAGTCTTATATATGTCTTATTACATGAAATACTGAACTTTAGGAGATATAATGTAATTTTTTCCTTATTGGGAGTCCCTTAATTTTACAATGTCCTTTGGCGCAACTTGATTGGTTGAAAGATAGCGACCCCTTTGTGGCCCCAATTTACCAAGAAGTACAGTCTGTATTGTTTTGAGTTTCTATTGATTTGAAATTTTTTAACCCATTACAACCTTAGAAAAAAAGACTATTTTTTAGCATACCTAATTGCGATGACAAGCTGGATGCTTTGACATGTTTTCAATTAGCTCGATAGGGTGCTATTTAAGGTTATCTTACTTACGTTGATTTTTTTTTCATCGAGGTCGGACGCCATTGTTTACATTTCATAGAGGCTGTGCAATGCGTGGTTATAAAGATTGGGACTTTAGATATAGTTTGTTGGTTTTATATTTTTTCATCATGAACGTGTTGTAAGTTGGACATAGTTTCATAAGTCAGCTTTGACGTGCCATCGAACACATTTCAGAGTTATTTTTCGATCATGACAAAGGAGCACACGGTGGGTGTGACCGGTCAAAAGGGGATTCTCACTCCTCCATGGCACCTGATACCACATCTGATGTTCCGGAGGTTTGTTTTTGATCTGTTCCCTTTTTGTTTTGTTTTATGGACTTTGAGATTGACTACTGTTCGTTATCTCCATATCCCCCTTAAAGCGAACTTTGGACTAAGGCTTAACCAGTTTGTCGTACATTGCTATTGATTGAGGTGAGGAACATTACAGAGGCTGTAGGATGATATAAACTTCGTAACTAAATTAAAGACATTTTTGCCTAGTATTACAATAATGGAGATTTGGTGGTAATGATTTGTGTATGACATATTTAAGACCAGAAGTTTTTGTTTTTGAACTACTGGAATCGATGGAAAACATTACACCGTACTTGAGCAAATGAATTTGTTGACATGTCTAATCTACCCCCTTCAGATCTAGAGCCTTCTGATTTCCATCTATCTGTTAAAACAATAGAAGGGTTGGGCTAACTTCGGGTAAAACGAAAACGGTACCTGACAGTTTTGGACGGATGCATTTAACATCTTTGCTTCAGTGCTTCGACGAAATAACAAAAACAACAGTGATCTGCCTGAGGATTTGGCTATACATGTATATATAGATTTAATTCCATCAATTTAGAAAGATGGGGATGTTTGGTATCACTATGATGTGACATTTCGCAAAGCTAGACAGGCAGATTCATCTTCAAGTAGACCAAGTTCTATACAGTCGAGCTTTAATGAAAAATGGGGGGCTCAACCCTAACAAAAAAAACTATAGTTAACTATGGTTTTCTATAGTAAACTATAGTTAACTATAGTATTTTTTTGTTATGGAACGGTTTCTTCCTTTACATTCTGAAATTAGTTTTTTTTATCTTCGAAAATTCAGTTTTAAATTAAATGAATGTAAACCCGGTACAACAAACTGCAATTACCCGCACAAATACGCAGGTTGTTTCAAGCAACATCCTAAAACCCAATGCTGGAAATCAAATTTCAATAGTAATTCAGCTTCTGACAAAGGTAGTCAGTCCTAAGCATACGACCAAAAATAACGATGCCATATTCCACCCACACCTATTAACGTTGAAAAATTAGGTTTCTACCTACCCGGGTATGACCATGAGAAATTGCAATACTAACTTCGGAGTTTTGGGGAAGATCTTGAATATGAAGAAAAAAGAGAAAATCAATTTATTCCAAATCTTAAATCCGCATTAGAAAAGAAAATGTAGTTACCGATAAGATCTTAAAAGAGCTGCTAGCAGGCTACATTGAAGGCCCGTTTCTGACCTTCCTTTTCCATCTTTTAGAATTTCTCCATTAGGAATAGTACCAAGGAACACACCAAATCAGTTTAGAATGATCCGTCATTTGTCTTTTCCAGATGGAAATGTAGGTTCCGTTAATGCTGTTTTCTGATGCTGCTGCATCAGTGCAATGTGCAGGAATAAATGATGCCATTTTATGCGTCAAAGATATTGGTGACACAGCCTTTTGTTGTGAAACCAATATCGAATCAGCTTTTGGGATATTACCAGTTAGGCTAGAAGACTCTGAACTTTTGGGTATTTATTGGGAGGGTAAATGTTACTATGACAAATGTCTGCCAATGGGATGTAGAACAAGCTGCAACATTTTTGAAGATTTTAGTACAGCTATTGAACGGATAACTCGCAACAAACTGGGTATCACAGATGTAGTTTTTCCGTTTCTTTTCATTGAGAAGTCAAAACCCATGGCATTAAACACATTTAAGCAATTTTTTGATGTTTAGGCAGATATAGGAATTCTTTTAGCAACTCAAGACTGTACTTCCCATTCAAGGTATTGAATTTGTAGGTATTACAATTGACGCTAGGCTAAGAGAAACGAGAGATTGCCTACAGATACTATTAGTTACACAGTCAGTAAGTGACCTAATACGGAATCATACAGGGTGTGAAATGGAAATCCGTATTGGGCGAGGCGAAGCCGAGTCCCAATACGGATTTCCATTTCACACCCTGTATGATTCCGTATTAGGTCACTAACTGACTGTGTTACGAATTTATCCCGCTGAAGACCTAATATTAATTCTAGAATATTAAAAAAAAATCTATGCGCATATTATGAAAATATCATGTTTTAATCCAATAACAATCAACATAAAATATCGTAACAAGAAATTTAAGTAATCAAACTACCTACGTAAACCGTTTCTTAGCCGCCATTTTTATTTACAATAACAACGCTTCTAACGGAATCGCGTGCCCGATTTTCATATTACGCCTCGACGGAGACGTAATACGGAAAATTTCAGGGTGTCACGTGATTAGCTTTTATCCAATCAGTAATCGACAAATTTGTCTGAAGCGGGATAAATGTAAAAATGCCAGCATCTGTTGTCCCAATATCAATGCAAGAATAGTTGAAAGAAATGCAAACCTTGATAGGGGTACTTAACTTTTTGTGCTCTGTCATATTGCCGTGCCGGATTTTTTGAAGGCAGTTTATTCACTAACCCAACTATAGAATGCCTGTACTCATTTTTATTAAAAGCATTAGTATTTAGAGAGACATATTAGACATTGTTACTTGCTTGGAATGGTAACATAAAGTGAGAACTGATTTGCGTCTTTCATGCTAAAAATGTGCCTTATTCTGTAGTGTTAGCTTCAATTTATCTGTATACCTGCATAATTGTTCTGTTGGGGCATGATATGTATGCTGTGGCCTTGGTTGGGTAGTTGCGACGATTTTAACAAATTCTCTCAACTTGTGACTATGGTTTACAATATTTTGAAAGTTAAAATCCTGGTCAGTTTATCGATAGAGTAAAGGATATCAAATTAGTGAGTTTCAGCTTCATAATTATACTGGCTCCAAAATTCGGTCAAAATCTGAAAGTTTAACCAATGGTAAAAAAACTCTTTAAATTCCTTTTTAGAAGATCATATAATAAAAAAAAACGCGTAATCTTCGCGGTGTTTCCCCAATTGGACTACAGCGCTGATATTCAGGGGTGATGGAGAGAAAACGGGACTGAGAAAATGAGAGAAAGAAAGGAAATTTCGGGTCGCCGCTAGGAACACTCACTTAACATAATTAATGCGCATATTAATGTCTTGTATACTTTGACTATTATCTCAAATCTAACGAATTTTATGTCAAATTACTTATGATGTCATAAAGACGATGCTTTTCCCCACCGACTGATATAAAACTATCAATATTACAATTTTATAAATCGCTCATACATGTTTATGGATTTAAAGGGTATGCCTTAAACGTTACCAGTCTACATGAGTATTTATGTATAAATATCTTATTTATTTAGAAGTGAAGTACCCAATAGATATTATTTATTTACACTACATTACAGTAATGCATGTCAACTTTCGCTATAGAATGAAAATCAATAGGAAGCATCACCAACACCGTGCGTAACGTCATGTTTTTCGGTCTTTTTTAAAAGTTCTTAGTGCATTATTGAATTATTTAATAGAGCTTTAAATAGCATAGTTTGACTGAATCTTTAATAAGGAAATTGGGCCTTTTTAGATCTCAAAATTTATTTCCTACAGGTAGTACTTTTGATCATTATTTCCTCTTTTGAAAAGTTTCTATAGAGCCCATTTTGACTGCTATTTCCTATTTTATTACAATTACAGATCATTCATGATCAAATACAATCATTTATTTTGTGTTATGAACATTTCCCTAATGCTCATCAGCAAGGGTACAAAAAAGTTTTAGTTGTACTACAGCATCTTTTGTATTACAAGAAACCATATACTACAATATAGAAAACAAAAGCAATGTATATTCTGCATTTTTAGACAGTACCAAGGCTTTTGACTCCGTGTGGAGACAAGGTTTGATAGTTTAGTTGAATAAAATGGGTATTATTGGCAAATTATGGTCCATCATTGATGATTGCCATATAGATACGCAAAGTGCGTATTGTTGTTAATGAATGCATGTCAAAATGGTTTAAGGTCATACGCAACGTAGTTTGAACTTTGTTGGGTTCTTCCCTGGAGTTGAAGAGTTCCACTAAATGAAGGACCTGTGTGCAATATTTTTAATGTTTATCCCAGAACGCTAGTTAGTATTTATAGGAAAGTCGTATTACCTTCAGTATTATTTGGCTGTGAGTTATGGATCAACTTAAAAATAAAAGATTGGAACATTGTGAATAGATTTCAACATTTTAGTGTCAAAGATATACAAAATCTTCACAAATCAAGAAAGTATGCTCGGATTACAACCAATTCAAGCTGAAACTGACAAAAGAAAACTATATTTCTTTGGAAAGCTCTGCTGCATGGATAGTAATCTCCTTCCGAAACAAGTCTTTACTAATGTTCGAGTATCTTAACCATAACCAGACATCAAAATTCGGTTTTGTCAAAGATCTTATTCCTATTATCCAGAAATACTCCTTAGAAAGATTTCATACATTCATAAGCAATACCAGTTCTCCGTCCAAAAATATTTGGAAGAATATCGTAAAACAGGCTATTAATTTTCATTGCAATTCTTCATGGAATAATTTACTCCGATCCAGATTTCACGGACTTAAGTTTCTTCATACATCTGTGCATTTGGCTTCTCTCTGGACATATCCACTTTCAACAAAAGAAACGAAAATCGTTAGGTTCATTGCAAATCTGTGGACTCTTGTACCGAAAAAGGACATATACCAGTGCATAATCTGCTGGAATCTTTTTACAAACAGTTTCAAACATGCCATAGCGTCGTGTTCTATAACATCGAATGAAAGATCTGAATTTATGTTCGAATTAGCAGACGAATACAGTAATGTTAACA